TCAGCAAACACCTTTTATGGATAACTGAACATCATATCAAAAATTGTATTTCATTATTTTACCAGTGAAACGGAAAGCAGCAGTAAGGAGACATGCTGAAAGTTCGACTGATGCTCTTCAGTGTGCTTTTATCAACCATTCAGCGTTTTTTAATGAATGGGCGAGAGGTATCGTCGTCTCCACAGCCACCGCCACAGTCGTATATGCTCGCCGTTCGCTTGCTTCATTCGGTGTTTCTGCTCTTCATCGAGCAGTGCTGTAAAAAATTTCCCTCGGCTGCCAGCTCGCCTCCTTCATTCAATGTAAATATCTTCGGTCGGGTGGGAAAACGCCATGTATTCGTTGTAAGACCGGTCGAAAGCTCTGCTGCAACCATTTTCAAGAATAGCAACACCAGAAATATGTACTGAAAAAAAACAAGTACCCGACTGCGTCGACCACCGGCTGCGTGCTCGATTTGGACATGAAAACGTGGCAGGCGAACAGAGGCAGCAGAGGATGCTTGGTGATGAATCCAAAGTACCTTCGCAACAATAAATACAACTTTAAATAATAATAATGATAATGTGCAAAAGCCTTCGCTACCTGAGCTGCTTTGGGTGCGCTCCACAAAACGATATGTTCTGCAAACTATAAAAGTAGTCGAAACGAGCACATCGGAACCACTACAAAAAAATAAACATATCAACTGATGCGAATGATGGAACTCAGCCAGTCAATCAATGATGGACGGTAGCGAATACACAAAACCATCGAAACTTGACTGTTGCTCGAATCAGAGGCGACTGTCATAACTAACAGCTGAGAGTGGTGGTCAAATTATACCAGTGTAGTGGATAACATGAGGAAGTAAACACGTTACGTCATCCCGTCAAAGGTACTTAGTTATCCGAAGTAGAAAAGTAAGTGAATCAAAAGCGTTTGTTCGTAGCCAGAATGACCTAACCCATTCGTGCACTGAATTTCATGCTCTTATTTCAACACTACTTTTGCTGGTCCAGAGCACAGGGCTGATTTAGACACCGGCAACGTCAGATGCGTATCGCGTTATACTACCTATTTTACTTTACGCAAAATATCGGTGTTTCAGAAACCAGTGCTTCTTTAATGCGTTTACGGAACAGCGAAAAATATGGGTTCATACTGAGGAGTGCACCAATATCCTGCTCAGTTTGTCCAATTGAGGACACAGAGGCAAAAATGTCGACCTCGAACTTCAGAGGTGCCGAGGTCGAATCTGGAGAAGAAACGACTTTTGTCTTGATCGTGAATTTAATCCATGTTGCTTCGATGCTAGTGGCCGAGAAGTGGGTAGCAAGTCGCTGACTTGCAAACAACAGGCACAAAGTGATGTTTCGGGGTAGCGATACCAGAATGGCCAGACGACGGCGATTTGCTGTCTGATTCGAGGGTCTCACAGGACCGTAATTCGTTTTGATACACCTGATAGCTGCCTATTCAATGTGATAATCGGTAAGACTTGTGATCCAGGGGGAATCTTCAAGGATTTCAACTGCTCAGGCAAGTATCATTAAGCTGTCACCAACTTAAACTCTGCCATCCCTTATGAATCCAAAAACAGTTGGACAATTCGTCGTGATATCCAGTGATCGGAGGAGCTAAGGTCTAACATAAGGTCATTGGTCAAATATATTACCATCATTCAACGAATCGGTTGGAAGAAATCTAATGTGCGATTACTAAAACCGACTACTAACACGCAAGTGCGCCCAGCGCCATGGCAACGAAAACCTACAATATGAAAAAACTAAAATAATGACAATTTAAACTTGGTGAAAAATTTGTATATCTTTGCAGGGGCAGTGCATAAGTAGTGTTTCTTGCAGTTAAAAAAGCGCAGAAAGCAAATCCAAGCGGTGCATTATTGCCCGTTCCATTGAGCACAAGATTCCCTCACTCTGCCACGTCATCATGAAGCCAGGGGAGAAACTGAGAGCAAGTGGCTGTACTACCAATACTTGGGATATTATGGTTATCTGGTGTAGGCATGGTCTACTTTGGATGCCTGCAATTGGGTAATGAGAAGATTTCTATTGATCGAACCACGTGGAACTTGACATGTTTGAGGTATAGTTAAAATGTCGATTTGGATATTGCCCGTAATGAAATAAAAACCGTCAACTGACCAATATAAATTATTGAAGAATATTTCCGCTGGAGTTTATATTGGAGGAATTCAGAAATTCAGAGGAAGGACGATGATCGATTTTTACAACACAGGAAATCAGATTCAAAATCGAATTTCTAGGCACAGCTGAGCATATAATGAAATTCCAGGCCACAATGCCAGGTTACGATTCATAAATGATGACAACCCTCACATTAACTGCTGGAACTAATGTCATTAAATTGGCAAGACTATGGCAGGAGAATAAATGACATTTATAATACTATTCTCTGACCTAACGGTTCTTCTTAGGAATCCCTAGAAGTTAACGGTCAGATTTGCTCAACCCCCCCCCCCGCCCGATGCAAAATAAATTTTACATCATTTT